CCACTCAAAACAAGATTCCCTTTGTTACATTTATTACAAATTAATTAAATGTTATGGAAACAACTCAGTTGCAAATAAGATATAATATACATACATACATATATATATATATATATATATATATATATATATTCAACTGAGTTGTTTCCATTAAACAAAAACAACTAATTTATACATTGAGCTTCTAGATTGGGGTACAAAATTTTATTACTGCAATAAAAGCAAATAAATTTAAGTTAAAGAGTAACAAGGAATTTCATAGTTGCTGTAAATCATAAAAAAAAGAAAAAGAAAGTTGGGACAAAAAGGCCAAAAACTTAACCAGTTTTCATCTTTTCTCATCAGTTTTATCTTCTTAAAGACAAAAATAAATTCAGAAATTGAATCATCAAAAAAGTATAATACGCATTTCTGCTAAAATGGCGCAATTTGAATAAAACCCATTTTGGTTCACCAAATTGTCCTGTCTATTTGCACATATTGTGGATTGGTCATTTTGCCAAAAGGTTTGCTAAGCAACATTCTAGTAATTTCTGAATCTCTGGGTTGAGGAGTCATCATTATTAACACTATTTATATTCAGTCTATTGTCCTCATCTTTGTTGTTGTTATCACATTTCGCCATTGTGCCCTTCAACCTTTGTCAGGTGTATACTGATCCAGGTAACCTACAGGAATAATTCTGAGTTAAGGAGTTATCATTATTTACACTATTTATATTCAGACTATTGTCCTTATCTTTGTTGTTTTTATCTCCTGATCACCTTTTGTTCGAATTTCTGAGATTAGGAGTTATCATTATTTACATTATTTATATTTGGACTATTGTCCACATCTTAACCATAAAGATTGAAACTGAATAATAAAAATTGCGGAGAGAAAACAAGAAAAAACTTCACAAGAGAAAAGCTTGATCAGTTTTCTTCCTCTCTTGTGACAATCTTCTCAAAGACAAAAATAAATTCAGAGACGGAATTTATTAAGAAAGTCTTCAGTATAGGATCCATTCCTGCTAAAATGACGCAATTTGAATAAAACTCATTTTGGTTCACCAAATTGTCCTATTTGCACATATTGTGGATTGGTGATTTTACGAAAAGGTTTGCTAAGTAGATTTCAGCCTGTGTAAATAGATTATTCATTTCATTTTTTGGATTTTAATGTCTTTTTATCGCAGTCATAAATTAATTTCTAATACTTGGAGAAACAAGTAGTAAATCTACGTCATATATTAAGCAAATTTTTTTTTTTTAGAGCGTTTATTGATAATTTCTAAACTGATGTAGGCTTACTATGACATTGTGTCGAATCACCAGTTCCTGTATGATGACCGAAGTTAAGCCTGGTCAATAGCTAGATGGCTCAGCACTTGGAAATAGCAACTGCTCTAAGTGTGGATGTACAAAGGGCATAAATGGATAATGGCTTGAAATTGTTAATCAGAAAGCCAAGTTCTAATTCCAGTTGGGTTCATTATATTAACTTACATGCAAATACCCTTATGAAAGGTATGAATCCACCTCTTCTCCCCTGAGCTATGGGTTAATTAGTATCATTTAAATCGCTATTATCTCCCCACCCTCTTTTTTAAATTGCATGCATAATATTTAGATTTTAGCATTAAATAACCCATAGAGGTGTTGATATTCTGCTGAACAAAAACAACCAACTCATCAAAACTGATGTCTTCTGACAGAACCAAGATACCAAACATGGTATCTTAGAATTGCTATAAAGATTTTTTTTACTTTTATGTTTGTTTCTTTTGTACTTCCCTGGATAGAAGGATATTAAGGTTTAACAACTCAAGATTCATTTTCAGAAGGGGAGTGAGGAAAAAAAAAAAAAAAGAAGCCTGACTAAACATAAAAAATAACTTTGTACAGTGATTATAAAACTGTCGGAACATCAATGAAAAGATCAAAGAAAATCTTCAAATTCAAAATACATTTTTTGCAAAAGAAATTCTATCACTATTTCTCAAAGCCTTTTCAAATGGCAGGAAAAGGAAAAAAACACATTAAGAAACCCATAATTCTAAACTGTAAACACAGGACTAATCTTAAAGGAAGAACTTTGAGAAGACAAATTTCCAGTTTTTTTTTGTAAAAAAAACATCACAGATCTCAACACTGTCAAAAGAAACTGATAGTACAGAATCTCTTATCCAAAACCAGATATTATTTAGTATGCTTTGAATATATATATATTTTTTTAATTATTTCAGCCCAAGCAAGGCAATAATATCACTAATATGCCAGAAAGTGAAAGAGAATGAGAAAACTTTAGAAGGTTCCGGAAACCCAATCCTAAATAGGAAACAAGGGACAAACTACTACTCCTGTTCAAAAGACGAGGAAGGTGTATGAACTGGCCAATAGGTAAAATAATAATAATAATAATAATAGTGGTGGTGGTGTTCTTTTTCAGGCAAATACAAACACCATTGAGTAATTTTCTTCTACCACAACCTCCCAAAACAATTATCGTTTCTTAGCCAATCCACATGTCTTAGTCAATCTCCCTTCTGTTTTTAAGCTCCCACATGAGTACTTTACTTAAAATCTGCTATATTTATATAAAAATAGTTTACAATATCAGGAAGAACATTTATAAATATTGTTGTAGCATATCTATGGACAATAATGGGTATGTTCCCATTCACATAAATAATGGGTATGTTCCCATTCACATAAATAATGGGTATGTTCCCATTCACATAAATACAGTAGTAAATATTGTATATTGGTCTGGAGTTGAGATTCATCGTGAAATTCACTTCTAGCAGTTGACTACTTTTTCTATGTGTTGTTGGTGAATCTTATGTGTGTTGTTCTTTACAGTGAGAATATCATCAAATCTGGCAGACTCAACAGGAAAATTGGGAGAACATTAATTATGACCTGGACACTGGGATAAAGAGCTCAAAATTTGAGAGTCGCACAGCCTTTCCCAAGAATTATAAAGTTTGCAATTTTCTGCTATAGGTTGAGCCAAGGTAGTTGCAAAATAATTCCTACTGTGCTCAATAAAATCTAATAGAGTACAGCAATAGTAATGTTTTGACTCTTGGATCACCAAAGTTGAGCAATGTCATGCCTGGTCAGTACTGAGATGGGTGATTGCTTGGGAACACTAAATGCTTTAAGCTTGGATGTGTGGATGGTGTAATGGATAATTGCTCAGAATTGTAAATCAGATTGCTGAGTTCCAATTGCCATTAGGTTCATTATATTTATTTATACACAAATACTCTTGGGAAAGATATGAAATCCATCTTTTCTCTTCACTTGTATCACTAAAACCATTATCATCTCCAAATAAAATTCTTGCAATCTAAAAATATTTTTTTGTCTTTAAATAACTGGTAAAGGGTTGGTAAACCATAGAAAACAAATCAATCAATCAATGATATACTGATTAGTTATGCAGGCATGTCTTTTAGATTTATTTACATTCTCTGGAATATGTATGTATAGAAATTACTGTGGCCACAAAGTGAGGGATAAGTTCATATAAAGGTTGTAAAATAGAATTGATCCCCCACTTTATATCCACATAATTTCTTAAATACCTGTCTGTATTTCTGGGATGATGTATTGTAATTATTTACATTGTTTGGACTGTTGTCCTCATCTTTATTGGCATATTCACAACATTTCAGCCGTTGTATGCTTCGGCCTTCTTCAAATGTCATGAACATGGCAATAAAGATGAGGACAACAATCCAAACAATGAAAATGTACATAATTTCTTGTTTAATCAAATTTTGATTAGGTATGAAAACCACCTTTTTTCACTTCCAGCTATGGGTTAGTAAAATTTGCATCCCCAAACCTCTAAGAAAAAAAATAAAAATTCTTACAATCTAAAAATATACTCTGGCTTTAAATAACCTGCAAAAGGTTGACAAACCGTAGAAAACAAATGAATCAATCAATATAAAAAATGATAGATTTTCAGAATTTTGGATAAGAGATTGTACTGCTGTAGACCTAATCAAATGGGCAAGAAATATTTCTATTAGAACAGAATTTACTCTCAGTAATTCATTTGGTTTTCTCTACTGGCACCTCTTGTAGAAATTGGCTTTGAAATAAGCACGAAAGAAATGGTTTTGCAAATCTGTGGAAATTTATTGAACTTATTTTAAACTCACACTTGTTAAAAAAAAAAAAAAAAAACAGTTCCACAAACAAACATTTTTGTTAAAGCCAGGTATAGAATTACAAATATACAGATAAAGAAATAATACAATAATAAAAGTAATTAAAGAAAGAAAGAACGAGTAATTAATTATACTAAAGTCTTATGACACACAAGTTTGGAAAGCTCTGGAATATACTTTAAATAAAACATTTCACTAGGACATAGTTTCTCTTTAATCTAAAATGGCAGTACTGCCGTTTTAATAGTTCAAGGGAATTAACTGGAGACATACGAGTTATCTCCCTTCACTGGTCACATGTTTTAACAGGTTTGTTTTCAACAAGATTTTTTTCAGCATGAATATTTGGAAAAAAAAAAAAAGAAAAAGAAAAAGAAAAGAAAAAAAGAGTATGGAATGTACAGAAGCCAAAAATTATTTAGCAACAATTTGATCAGACTTGCATAGACCAAAGAAAGAATTGCTTTTGCCTCTAATTATTTCAGAGGAGGGGGAAACAAATTAATTTTAGGTTTCATCATCTTCAGGAAATGTTGGGTTCTGTTCAATGTATGTATGACATTTAAATGATCAGATTGATGGTAAATAATTTTTTCATACTTCTAAAATATTTTAAATGCATCATTAGAATATGAGGCCAAGTAAAAAATATATATAGCAAAAGGGAAAATTAACACAAAAGTAATAATTAAAACAACTACTTATTAAATTTTTTTTTTCTTCTAATTTTCAAAGTAATGAAACAAACAAATTTAGTGCATGTGTTTAAAGGTGTGGGGACAGGAACTGTGAGGGGTGGGGGATGGAAGGCGAGTGTAGAAACAGCAAATACCAATAATAGATGGCCTTGTCCTTTCCCAGTGATACGAATCAACGCCAGAACTTCCTTCAGCAGTTATAGAATCTAAAGCATACAACAAAAGAAAAAAAAAGAAGGAAGCTTGTGAGTAGATTTAGATCTCAAAAAAATACTTAGAATTTAAAAAATATATATACCGTATATTTCCACGTATAAGACAACCTTTAGATAAGATGAAGTAAAAAAAAAAAAAAAAAAATCTGGCAAATTTTCATCAATTTATCCTATAACTGGTGCAGGACAACTCAACACCTCTGACTGAACGCTGAGACAACTCAGGACTGAGACAACTTGGCACCAGTAAAATATTTTTTATAACCAAATAAAAAGTAATTTATTAAGGATTAAAACCTTAATTAGTGAATATTTTTCTTCAGATAAGGCATTTGAAAAGGTATTATGTAAAATATGAACCAATTTTTTGCTTTTAATTATTTTTTAATAAAGTAAATCAGAGTTCTAAAATATTTTTATAAAAATATTCTAATAATTCATGACTTACTTTATTAAAAATAATTAAAAACAAAAAACTGAATCATATTATACATAATGCCTTTTCAAATGCCTTACCTGAAGAAAAATATTCACTAATTAAGATTTTAATCTTTGAGTTGACCCAGTGCTCAGTCGGCAGTGTTGAATTATCTCTTCCTCACCTGTAGTGTAAGATTATTGCTTATTGATTATATAAAGATGATGTTATTGGAAATGTTACTCACTATATCTTTAGAAATTCAAAATAAAAGAAATAACAAAACCAATTCTATATCAGGTTTTTCCTACACATCTCTTTAAAGTGAAGCCCTTGTTTTGTTTAGGTTTCATCATATAACCTCATATGCAAATATTCATTTTTCTTCTTCCTCTTTTTTCCCTATATCTAAACAGTTACAAACAGCCTGGTGTACTCATGGTCATTTACTACATCAACAATCACAAAATACCGCCAATAACAGTATGAGAATGTATGACAATAGTACATTTGATTCTTGTGATCACAATCATAACTTGATGTTTACATTTTCTCAGCTGAACTTGCATGGATACAAGTTGATTTCATTGACATGAAATTATTCTTTGAATAGGCAATTTATTATGAAGTTATACCAGTATTTTATAATGCGAATCTTTTCCTGTACATTATTGGTTATGGCACTAAGGCTGACGTTAGCCTACTAACAAATATTACTATTTATGGTTTCTTTTTTAGAATTTTACTATAAGACGGCCACCAATTTTTAAGGGTAATTTTTGGGATTTAAAGGTCATATTATACATGGAAATATATGGTATATGTATAAATAAAAGAAAATAAAAAAAAATTAGCACCCATCCCAGGTCTTCAAAATTCCTCTTTTCAAACATGTCTTCAGTCAAATTATCAATGTTTTCAGAAACTTGGAGATAAATTATTTTCATTATTCCACAGAATTATGAGATTATTTTCCTCACCTATTTTTTAAAACATATCTTTCAATCTTCAATAGATGTGTGTATATGTGTTTATATATATATATATATATATATATATATATATATATAAAAATAAAGACAAAAGGAAAAACTTTCCTGATATTTGCCTTGATAAAATCCCTCAGAGGATGAAATGCATCAGCTAAGATAAGTTTTCTTTTTGTTTATCAATATTGTCCTTTATAGATATATTCTATTGGAATATATATATATATATATATATATATATATATATATATATATATATATATGAAAACAGTATATACATTTTATGTATCAAAAAACAATTTTAGGAAAAAACTATATAGATTTTTGCAATTATATACATAAAGACGAAAGTAAAATTTATCTTAGCCAATGCATTTCATCCTCTAAGGGACTTTACCAAGGCAATTTGTCTTTATTCGTACTTTCCTTTTAACCTATATACTCTATCTGAAATTATATATAACTTTCAAATAAAATGTATCAGGATCAAACTTATTAATAAACTGTCCAAAGTTTTATTTTCTTATGCATTTTGGATAATTTATCCCTAATTTGGATCCCAATGTATGTGTGACAATAACAAAGTCTGTGTTTTGCCAATCCAAAAAAAAAAAAAAAAAAACTTGACCAGGGTATTTCTGGAAGATGATATTTTTAAAGCAAGATGTCTTTGTAATTAAAGTTCTCAATATCAACAGATAGGGCATTAATAATAACAAATAAAATTAAATGTTCACTTATCTCCCTCTACTCTGAGTTTCATGGTGAATCTACTACTAATAGTCAGAAGGCTTGATATCAAAATAACCCCCCAAAATCACATGTATTGAAATTTAATCATACTGGGTTTTCAAAAAGTAATATGATCTGGTAACAATATGACTGGATGCACTTAAAAGAAAAAAAGTAAAAAATAAATTGTAATGACCAGATGAGGCAGACATATCCCTTTAAGAAGGTGAGAGAATATGTCAATCGAAACATTGCATTAAAAACTAAAACATTACTAACAAAAATTAACATGACTTTTTTATTTTTAGAACATATAACCATGGTGGATTTTCAAGAGAACAGGAAGAGGAAAAGGAGGAGGAGAAACAGAAAAATCTTTTTACTCTTTCTCATAAATACAGAAAAAATAGAAAGTGCTGTGAGAATTGCCTATTCATCAAGACTCTGGCCAGAATGAGTTATCTCCCCTTTAAAAAAAGTTACTTAATATTAAAAAAAAAAAAAAAGAAAAGAAAAAGAAAAAAGGCATTAATCTTCAGAGAACTTAAAACAATTGGTTACTTATTTTAGTGTATTGTTTTACTTACAATTATTGCCACTAAACCCTAAACAATAGTCAGTGCATTATTTAAACAAATTAGCAAGGAATTAAGTATTTTCTGGACTGATACAAGGAAGAGGCCATTCTTCCAGCATTTTTGCAGTGGCATGAATATACACATGTCATTTGAGATTAGGAGTGAGTTTTAGACCCAGTTTGAATACTACAAGTTTAGTTTTGGATGTATTGAATGATATCAACCAGTCTTTTCCCTATTCATCTGTGAGAGTTTAGAGGGGAGATCAGCTATCAGGCACTGGTCATCAAGATATTTGGAAGTGCATCTATAAACTGTAGTATCATTTCCATATATATTTACCAAAGATCTAAGAGTGTTTTTGGGTAAATCATTGATATAAAGAAGGCTTTCGGATTATGCCATCTTATCTTTTGGATTCCGTTCTATTTTCCGTGATGTGTAGCGTGAGGAATAATTAACGGTCATTTTTTATTTCTTAATGGTAGTTATTTTTTTTTGCCTCCTTGCTTTTTTTATTTCTCATCATGCTTCTTTTAAATGTTTTTTAATGCTATAATTTTGACAAACTTGAACCTTCGTTTCTGGAAAAAAAAAAAAAAAGTATCAGAAATACGATTTTTCCCTTGACTCCACTATTATTTTAACTACCTTCACCCCTCAGCAATGTTTATTGTTTTAAAAAGCAATGATTACAATTGTAATAAAACATATGAAAGTGAATTTATACATTTTGTTTAAAAAAAAATATGAAACACTATTTAGCAGATTATTTATTTACAAGAATAATTTACAACATTCTAAAAAGTAATACAATTAAAACTAATGCAATGCAATATTTATTATTTACAGATTTCTAAAGAAATATATATGAAAACAATTTTTTATTCATAAACTTATAAACATTTACTAAATTATTCAAATATGTGAAACCAACCATAAAGGAAATCTTTAATATTTAGTATTTAATAAAATTTGAATTGCTTGGTAATTAGCCGATGTTTTGCCAACCATTCCAATAAACAATACAATGGTGTAAATAAACAATCTAATAAATAGTGTTTATTATTTTTGTTTTCAGTTCTCAAGAACAAAGAAAATGTATAAATTGACTTATTTGTTTTAGTTTTATTACAATTCTAATCATCACTTTTTAAAACAATAAACATTGCTGACAAGTGAAGGTAGTTAAAATAAAAGTGGTATCATCGGAAAAACAGTTTTTCTTTTCAGGCAAGAATGTCCAGGTTTGCCAAAAATTTTTTACTCTTAAGAAAATATTCAGGTGGCTATTTTTACAAAACTTGAACTGATAATGACTTTTCTAAAACTAAAAAGAAGTTGCTTTCTTTTTTAACTTTTAATTTCACAATTGGATTCTATGTTGGGTCTTAAGGAATATGATTGAACACCTTGGCCAGCACATTTACGGCTTTTAAAAAAAGCAAAAAAAAAAATTGTCAAGTGATTCTTTAAATAAAATAAAAATGAAACTTATACATATTGGCATTTATCAATTTGTTCAGGCTGAGCAAGAAATATTGACTTGATTTTAACTTTATTGCATACAAATTTTTACCTTAATAAAAAAAACTGGTTGTAATTTTAAAATTTTTCAACTTCATACAAAGAAAACTTCCATTTTAAATTGAAGAAATTTCAACTCATGTCCAAGTCAGAAAAAAACTGTAATTTCTTTCAACTCTTGGTGATAGTGGGAGTCAAATTAGATTTTGGGGCACTACAGATTGAAAATGGTAAAAGCAATTTTCATTTTTTTAAAATTTGTTAAGATTTTAATAAATTTAATAAGCTTCTAAAACACACAATGTATAAAAAGTTTATATACATACATTACCATATATACTCATTGATAAGCCGATTATGTATAGTGTGACCAGAGGTTTTAGCATTAAATTTAACCACTCCAGAAAAAAAAATTTACACATGTTTAGTGCAGTATCTATCTATATTTCTGAGATGAGGTATTATGTACACTATTTACATTATCCAGACTATAGTCCTCATCTTTGTTGCCATATTTATTACAACGTTTTGGCCTTTCAGTATCTGTCTATATTTCTGAGATGAGGTATTATGTACACTATTTACATTATTCAGACTATTGTCCTCATCTTTGTCGCCATATTTATTACGTTTCGACCGTTGTACGCTCCGGCCTTCTTCAGGTGGTTGGAATGTTGAACTGAATCCTTTATTTCACTCACTGGGATAAGACTGTTCTAGTTCCATGTGCCATGTTTAATGGATGTC